ATAACTTCATTCCCACAGTAATTTTAAGAGAAACCTGTTTATAAAGGAATGGAGAAGTAATTCCAGATTATTCTCTCATTTATAGTCTTCACCACAGAAACATAAAGCTGGCAGCAATTCAACACAACTGACTGCATTAATAGATGGTACTTTAAAGAGCAACTGTTTATGAAGAAATAATTCTAGGATTTTAAAATTTCTTAGACCAGTAAATTAAAAAAACAAAAAATAGGGGTCAACATAAAATTGCCAACTGTTTATTTTGTCAATGAAGAGCATTAAAATTCATTCACCATTGGTTTATTAAAGTTTCACTAAAATATCTTAATGTCAAAAAATCATAAAGACATCTCTCAATCAGGTGATTCAAAATACTTTCTTAATGTGCTCTAATTCTCTAAGTTTTTATCATCATCTATACTGATATTTTTAAAAAAAAATGTTCATGTCAGTACTCATCAATCACTTTTCATCCTCTATTTGGACAGGGAGAGGGAAAGTTCTGAGACTAACATCTATAACATCACCCTATAAACATTTGTTTCAAATTACCAAGATCTTGCCAGATATCTTTATAAATTAATTTTGTGACATGTTTTGCTCTTTGAGGGTACCATATTATAGAGAGGAATAAAATTGAAAAAAAAAAGACCAATATAAGGACCAAATCCTCATGACTAAATTTTTAGTGATGTCTTTCAAGTATTCAAATGATGTAAAAGCGATACTAAAAAATAACAAAAAATAATTGTTCTACTAGCCTCCACTACTACAGGTAAATTTACTAAGGTAACACTTTTTTCATTATAAAGTAACACATGTTCACAGTAGACACTTTAAAAAACCCCAAACACCTCTTAATTTCCTCACTCAGAAATTACCATTAGCAGTATTTATAACTATAAGATGTTTTTCTACAAATGTATAAATGTATCATATACTTTTTTTTTCCATTTAATGTATCATTAGGATGAATATATATCCAGTTTGCGCAGGGCAGTCTCAGTTTTTGCCTACTGCTTGACAGAACTATAATGATGACCCAGTTTAGACAGTAAAGTATATGAACATATAATAAACATTCTGCCCCATACATAGCAGATCTACATAATTTTTAAATGGTTACAAGGTACTGAGTTATAATTTAATTCCCTATTCTCAAAGATTTCTGATTTTCCCCTTTACATTTTCAATGTTTTCATGGTGTAATATGTATATATATGTATATATATATATAT